TTCACTATATTTTGACCCCCCTTTAACTTTTTGTTTTAAGAGATATAAAAAAATGTGAAATATAAAAGTTGCACGAGTTTTTATGAATTTTTCGAAAATGTTTGTAGAAAAACAAATGAAGTCCAAACAAAATGGCCGCGGATGTTAACTTTGTTAAGTTAAATGGAACACCCTGTATATTTTTACATATTTGGATAGAACGTTCCCTGTTGAGCATAGTCATGTAGGATTTGTTGGGTCTATCTCTAACAATAAGCGAGATACTATTAAAAAACGAAAATAAGGTTTTTTATTAAGAAAATAAGACATCTTGTAATTATTGTTAAACCTCTTTCAGCCATTTGTGCTTTTTTCCAATTACGTAAGGATTTACAGATTTAGTTATAATGTATTTTGACAGATCGGACATTGATATGGTCCAAAATCCGTATAGGTACTTTAACTAAATCTCACTAATTAGGCCGTTAGAGGCCTAATTACTCATGGACAATCTTATATGGTAGGCCGTGACAGTGACAGGTAATGTCATGACAACATTGTTATTGTTTGACAGTTATTATTTAATTAAAATGGGTTACACAGAAGTAGAAAATTGAAAAATTATAGGAATTAAAATAGAGCAAAGTTCTCCATACTCTATTTTAATTCTAATTAACTTTCTACTTCTGTATAACCTATTTTAATGAAATAATAATACAAACTGTCAATCAATAACAATGTTGTCACGACCTTACTACTTGTCACTGTCACGACCTACCATATAATGTCCATGAGTAATTAGACCTCGCACGGTCTAATTAGTGAGATTCCGTTACATTATCTATACGCATTTTGGACCGTGTCAATGTCCGATGTATCAAAATATATTTTAACTAAATCTGTAAATCCTTACGTAATTGGACAAAAGGCAGAAATGCCTGAAAAAGGTCTAACAATTACAAGAAGTCTTATTTTCTTAATAAAAAAAACCTTCTTCTCGTTTTTTAATATTATCTCGCGTGTTGTTAGAGATGAACCCAACAAACCCTATATGACTATGCTCGACAGGAAACGTTCTATCCAAATATGTAAAAATATACAAGGTGTTCCATTTAAGTTAACAAAGTTAACATCCGCGGCCATTTTATTTGGACTTCATTTGTTTTTCTACTATTATTTTCAAAAAATTCATAAAAACTCGTGCAACTTTTATATTTCTCATTTTTTTATAACTCTTAAAACAAAAAAATTAAAGAGGCGTCAAAATATAGTGAATCACCCTGTACATCGGTCGCGGTATCATGATCTCAAAAATAATGGTACTTTAAATAAATGTTTGATTCTTCGAAAAGCCATAAATCAAAATCAGTTTCCTGTAAGAATAACAAAATCAAAATTTTGAGGATACAATTATTCAAATATAAAAACGGTTCAAATATTCATTGATTTTTCTTTGGCATCAGAGAGTTTAATTCTACTTATTTTTTAAACAAAACTACTTAAAAATGTTTTTAAAAACTGCATCCAAAATGTAAGTAAGCCGCTCTCAGTGAACACTGATTTAAAAATATTTGAAAAATGTTATTTTAAACGACATTCAATAAATAATATGATTCACATCATTTTCTTAATTAATTGTTAATATTATTCCTGTTACTAAAGCTGTATTAAAATACGTAATACCTCAAAAACTGTTGAAGATAAATATGAATTTTAAAAAAATTTCTTTGACAATCTTTTTAATGGGGTAAAGATCTCTAGGGTCATCTATTAAAAAAATATATAAACAAGTTTTATACCTCGGAAATGCGGCATTCAATAGTTTTTGTTGTATATGTTAATTTGTTTAATACCTAGAACTTTGATTCTTAAGGTGGTTTTCCATGCTTGAACAATAACGGAGAAAAAGATAGGGCAATTTTCGAGACACTGCCCTGTATTCGAGGTAACATTCTTCTGTCTCTTTGAATGGGTAATTTTATAATTTATGGAGATATGTATTTCCTTTTTTCGCTCCTGTAGCTATGGATTCTGAGAACGCTCTGTACATTTATTAAAAAATCATAATTTCAACGGTTTATCTTTTCGTAACTTTATTAGTACATATATCAATAAATAAATATAAATTAGGATTGGATCCGAAGTGTGCTGTCCCTTTCTCTTAGCTAATACCAGGCTTTTATTAAAAATCGATGACAAATAAATGCAGGAGCTGTGCCCAGGATTTCACCCGAGTGAGCACTTAACACAGTCTGCAAAATACTATAGACAATATTTTTCATGTTTACCACTGTACTATTCCTTTATATAAGGGTGGAAAACGCTGCCTGATATCGTAAAGGAGGTAAATATCCGCAATAAGACAAAACACAAAAGCTTTATACAACCCTTCTTGCTCACTTTATTAAGCACAAAAGGATCTTAAAACCACAGTTTATTTTGTAAACGTCTCAAAGCTTTCTCTGTCTCGTTTGAAACTCAGTTGATTTATAAGAACGATTTGTGATTCCTTCCTTTGTTTCACTCATTTGTTTAAAAAATATATACTAATATTGACGTAGTGATACACCTTTACCTTTCGATTTTTAATCAAACAAAAATTTGTAAAACATGAAAGCCTTCAACTAGTTTTTTATGATGACACTAAACTTAGTACAACCAAGTTTGTTGGCTTTTTAAATGAAACACTATGGTGCTATATTTGACTAGGATATTTTTTCAGAATTTCAGTGATATACCTATTGAAAAACTTATTTCTAATCATACGATCATTAGAATATGTTGAAAGTGTCAGAGAGAGATATCAGACAAACTGATTGGTGAAGCTAATAAACCTTTTTCGAACATTTTATACAGGGTGATTCAGAACGTACCCAAAAAATGTTTTGAATTTACAAGGGACTCTTACAAAAAATCAAAAAAGGCAGTTCAAAAATAATTTAAAAATACGCTTCTGTACGGCACTGGAAACTGGTCCACTGTAAAACCCGACCTTGCGCAAGGCAAAACATACAGTCCGCGACCGTCAGGCGGCAAAGTGTAATAAAAAATGAACGAACAAAGAATTGAAGGAATTTCTTTCCCATGAACACCTATTTTATATCAGCTAATTCAACTGCTTTTGCGGCTATTGTTATTATTATTTAAGATAATTAATTTGTGGTTTTAATTAATAAAATAATTTGATATACCTGATGTTACAACAACCGCTTAACGATGTGTAAACACATTTGGGACCGTCTTACCCAGTTTCTACGAACTAGCACAAATGTTGTCTTGCTTCACCATAAATTAAAACCATATCCATCAACTTCGGAGTTGTTATAGGTATACGTAAACCATTTTTGTCATTTGAAAAACTAATGTAAAAACTACTGCAAAAACGTAAATACTAACATCGGATTTCAGTATTCAGAGAGCACGTTGCGCATAGTGTACAACGACGCAAATGACGTCCAACGATGTAAAGGTTGAAAATACTACAACCTTAATATAATTTTTATATTGGAAACTATAAGGATTTTACAAAAAAAATTTTTTACTCCATTTTCATGACGCATCTATTCCCAATTTTTTTTCTGAATCACCCTGTTACATGTGACATGTTATGCATGCTGTGTAATAATCTCTCTTATTTTGAAATGCAGCTCCATAAAAACTTTGATATGGCTCAGTGTTTAAGAACTTATAGATAGAATAATTAATAAATTTAAAAATTTCTCGTTTTTTGCCAAAATAATTGTAGGCAGATAAAATTATTACTATAGGTATCTATGTTTTTTATCTATTATGATGGTTCTAAATTTTCTCAATATTTTTAGTCGATGGTAAAAAAGGGTACGTTTTTACTTTTTTTCAGAAACTGATTAAGATCCTTTAAAGTGTGGTGACAGATATTATATTTTTTTGTGATATTTTAAAAATGCTTTCGAAACATCCTCTGTATAATATAATCTGAAGAATTCAATTACTTTTATTGAAAAATTATGGATGGAACATAATTGAACTTTGTTATCTTTTTATACTTTTTTTTAATTTAATTAATTAATTTAGTTATTTAATTTAATTAATTAATTTAATTAATTAATTAATTAATTATATTTGAAAAATTTGACTTTGTATTAAGTGTTTTCTCCAAATATTAAAACTGATCGTTAAGAAAATGTCGCAACGAAGTTATTTTTCAAAATGTCAGAGTAAAAAGTTGTTTGGTTTTCAATTTTATATTCATAAACCGATTTTCAGGTACCTGGTAAAGTTTTTATTTTAGTTTTCCTGACTAGAATGCTTTTAACTCAACGGAATATAGACATACTTTTTTACTTACTTTATTTATTATTGTCATCGTTGAAATGAGTTTCTCTGAGTAAATATTGGTTTGCATACTTTTTTCATTTACGAAAATTATAATGGATAAATAAAAATTGATTGAACCCGACGAAGAGTTTATTTAGAATCGACCAATTATTCCAGTGCCCACTTCAACTGGGTTTCTAATTAAGTTAATAGACGCATAAGCCTTGAAAATAATATATATTTCATAATTCAGTATATAATATATTATCAGTTTAATCAGAAAGCAAAATAATTCGAATTTTGGAATAAATTTTTGAAACAAAATAAACTTTGCTTCGCGTTTTTGAAATTTTGGAAATGCGTTTTAGTTTAGTAGTATTTAGACACAAAAATATTTCAGCAAATGCTTATAATAGTAAAAAGGAATAATTAGATAGAGGTTTGTTTCATTAAGTTAAAAGTCTTATTAAAAAAAAATCAAATTTTTCTTTGGATTTGATTGGCACGAGTAGAAAATTGAAATACAAATAATTTTTCTGTGTTCGAAGTTTTGAGAAATAATGTCATTTTTTATAAGTCAAACTCAGCAGGTGTAGAAAATCACATATTTGCTTACGTGTACGTTATTCTTTCAAACATTGATCAGTAGAAATCCCTGTGTATGATGCATACTTTATTGGTGACATTAAAAATACATTAATAAAGCGATATTAAACATTGCTTACCTGTTCGCACACATTCTTCTGTCAAACATACGGGCTTTACTACATCTGCAACAAACAAACATATTTTATATTAAAAACACATATTTTTTATTTAGGCAATTTTATATGATAGAATGATTAGATTAAATTAATTTCCACGGAAATCTAGGCAAGCAATATTGATATAAAATGGTTAAATAAGGAAAAAACATTCGCATTTCCAAAAGGTACAAGAAGGTACAACTAGAAATGTCCATATAAAAATTGGGTAAGGCAACATAAAATTTAGGTCTAGATTTATTTGACGTTCAGTTAAAAATTATTGATTGCTACACGAAAGAACAACGCGTTTGGAAGCGACAGTTCTGTTTTCGTACGAAATATGGTCGAAATAGTGATTTAACTTCATCAAGTGCGAAGAGATTAACTGAATAATTCAGGTAGATTGGATCAGTTACAGAACTCTCTTTAACAAGTTCAACACAAAACGTCGAAGCTGTTCATCAGAGTGTTGCTGAGAATTCAGTAACACCGTGGTCAAGAATTGGACATTTCGAGAAGTTCTCTACAGCGTATTCTCACGAAAGATTTTCATTTTCATTCTTACAAAGTTCAATTGACCCAAGAACTGAAGCCCACTGACCACGCAGAGCGAAGAGAGTTCGTTAAATGAATTATGGAACAAGTGGATGCTGATTTGTGGAACAAAATCATCTTCAGTGATGAGGCTCAACGTGTCACTGTTTGGTGCGGATTTTGAGCTTTTCATCATCGGAACATTTGTCTTCGAAAATGCGACTGGATAACAGTTAATGGTGCTCACTATTACGAAATGATAATCCAGATTTTGCTTAAATTGAAAGATATGGTTGCAGACTACATGTTGTTTCAACAAGACGGTGCCACATTCCATACAGCCCGAGAAACAATTGAAAGGGCAAGTGGATGAATGTATTACGTTACAATTAGCTTATTTCACAGCTATTCCCACAAAATCAATTTTAAGTAATATAATTTTAAGTAAATTTTGGACATGATACGTTCATCCATTCTAAAAATCCATGAAAGAGTGTCAGTATACTTATGAAAGTCTGTGATATGATACAGTGATACAAAACATGTTCTTCAATCGAATATCTCAACTTTTCGGGAATTGTAACATAACACATTCATCCACTTGCTCCTTCAATTCATTTATTGCACGAGTCATTTCCTGGTCGTGTAGTTTCCCGTTTTGGTGATCTGAATTGGCCGTCCAGATCATGCAATTTATCGCCGTTGGACTTTTCTTTGGAATTTTTTGAAGTGTAAAGTTTATACCAACACGACTACGACCACTCACGCCTTGAAGGAGGAAACTGAGCGCTGTATCAATGAAATTCAGCCGCATTTATGCAAAACGGTAATGGAAAATTTCGATGAAAGGGTGCGTATGTGCCAGCAAAGCTGTAGCGGCTATTTACACGATATGCTGTTCCATACAAAACCCTATAATGTATACCTTATGAATCAATAAAAAATTGCAAATTTTTAATTGAAAATGATTGAAATTGAAAATTGAGTTTTCGATCAAAATTACTTCTTGCCTGAATTTTGGGATATTTTTTATTTGTCTGTGACATTGCAATTGCACTATATTAAAATTTATATTAAATTTACAGAAGATACACATCCAACAAAAAATCTTTAATGTACCTAATTGTTTCATTAAATCCATTTCAATGTTTATTACCACACACTATGGATATTATACAGTGCGTAATTTGCAATGTAGTTCATTTATTGTAAATATTCCGTAATAAACTCTCCATAAATCGGAGTATCAGCATACTCATCACAAATATTAATAAAATACATCAATAACACGTAATGGAAAATTTGATATGTGTTCATTAAACTGGATTATGGATGACAGGCTACCGATTTCATTTGATGCATACACGTGCTGAAATTCATAATTTAATAGGGCAGCTACTGCCTTTATAGCTTACTCCATGCAAATAACCTCAGTTGTAAATTACAAAACGTTGTGAAGGAAGTTTTAAACACCAGTAATAAAAGTCAGCTGAACTCAAAGGAAACATTGTTATGATTATTATTTTTTCAGGAAAAATTCCTACATATACCTACCTATTATTAACTGTAATACTAATAATAAATCGTCTTTTTATTCAATTTTTTTATACCTAATAAATTTATCTGACACTTTTAATTATTGAATTTAATTGTCTACCAAATATCTGAATTAAATCCTAAGACATAAGTGGTACAAACAATAAGGTTTACATTTATAACACAAATTCATTTAGTGACTGTTTTACGTAAATTTGGGGCTGAGTTTCATTGATACAGCGCTTAATTTCCTCCATCAAACCGTGGGTGGTCGTGGGCTTGTTGGCATAACACTTAGACTTCAAAAAACCCAAGAACAAACTCCAACGGCGTTAAATCGCACGATCTAGGCGGCCAATTCTGATTACTAAAACGGGAAATTACACGACTCATGCAGTAATTGAATTGTTTCCTCCGGATGTGTGGCATGTGCCACCGTCTTGTTAAACCCACATGTCGTCTACATCTATATCTCGCAATTTAGGCAAGAAAAAAAAATGGATTATCATGTCGCGATAGCGAGTACCTACCATGAACTGTTGTTGTCTGACCAGCCGCAATTTTCAAAGAAGAATGGTACGATGATGCCTCCAGCCCAAAATCCGCACCAAACAGTGACACGTTGTTTCTCAACAATCACTCGTAGATTTTCTGAACCAAAATGTAACAATTTTGTCGATTAACGAAGCCATCAAGATGGAAATGAGCTGAATCTCAGATGATTTTGTTCGGAAAATCAGCATCCACTTGTTGTTCCATAATCCATTCATTGAACTCTCTTAGTTCTGTGTGGTCAGTAGGTTCTTGAGTCAATTGAACTTTGTAAGCATGAAAATGTATGTATTTCGTAAGAATACGCTGTAGAAGGCTTATCAAAATGTCGAATTCTTGGTCACAATGCAGAATTGATGTTCTTGGATTCTCAACAACACTCTCACAAATTGCTTCGATGTTTTGTGTTGAAGGACTTGTTGAAGGACGGCCAGAATGTTTAACCTCTAATCACCAATTGATCCAGTCTCTCTGAAATTTTCAATTAATCTCTTTATGGTTGATGAAGTTAAATCACTATTCCGATCATATTTTGTACGAAAATTGTGAACTGTTGCTGCCAAACTTTCATTATTTTTAAAATTGTGCTCAATAATGAAAAAGCGTTGTTCTCTCGTGTAGCGCATTATTTTTAATAAACCTCAAGTGTCAGCTATCACGCTATCTTTTTTTTTTGTTGGTAACTCTTTACCCTACAAACGGCGCAAAATTCAAATCTTGCGTGAACTTCGGTACACCCGATACAACATAATAAAATGTAAACCTCCCGCAACTAACTTGAAATGTTGTCTTTGCTTCTGTACATATATTCCTCCAACTTTCGATTGTAAATTTCACAACAATTTTTAATACTCTTTGCGGATCTATGTGCATAGGAAACCACTATCTTTTAATAGAGCTAACTTTCTTTCTGTACACTATTGATGTGTTTTTACATTTCTTAATACTAAAATTACAAGTGCGGTGTAGGTTTATTATATATTAAAAAACAACTTTGGTTAAGAATAGCGCAGAAGTGTAATATCAAATTCGTAACAATTCTGAAATGTTATTTCATGTGTACCGGAAAAGCACTGCTGTCGATATTAGTGGAAGTGATATTTACCATTTTGTTACTTTTTAATATTATGTGTTATTTAGACTTTAAACTGTTTCCCTTAATATACGACCAACCCTTTTAAAGCTTGCTAGGAAGGGATCCGAAATAGAATTCATTGGTCCGGAATCCTTTTGTGGTCAGGGGGGCTCTGGGCAAATGGACAGAGTCAGAATCAGAACATAGAAAATACTGGGTTCAAGGCCAAGGTAAAGCCATACATAAGAACTTTGGAGTGTGCTTTGAGAAAAAAACGAATGAGTTGCTGAATTTGAATTAAATTCGGCTCAGGAAAGTGACGGAATTATAATGGGATATTGTCATTTTAGGAAACATCTATACAAGCTAAGGCTTGTAGACAGTCCGGTCTGCGGATAAAACTTCTCTGCATATCCTGGGCGAGTGGCTAGAATTTGCAAGTAGTAGAATGACGCTCCTGGAATAACTCTTTCTGGAACTCAACGAGCTGAGAGAAATGTCGGCAAGGAAACTTTTGTAAAATGAACAAATGCTGAATAGGATTGAACAGTGGGACTCACAATGGCTTGATAAGGCCGAAGTGCCATGGGACTTGAATAGAACCAAACCACAGGTAGTAGAAGAAGAAGAAGAAGAAGAAGAAGAAGAAGAAGAAGAAGAAGAAGAAGAAGAAGAAGAAGAAGATTGAGAAGAACCCTTTCAAGGTGTTTGGATTTCACAAAGTTAAATAAATACAAAAACAATTTGTAAAAGAATAAACTTTGATCGTTGATGCCCGTTTCAAAAACTGATTTATCTCGATGACCGTTTACTTTATCCAAATAAATGCGTAAAAATTTTATTAAAATGTATAAGCTGTTTGCAAAGTTAGAATCTAAAACGTAAAACTCTCGGTATCTCTTTGGGGTCCCATATCTTCGTTATGAGTAACATTAAAAAAATAGCATCCTTTACACTTTCCAGAGATTAATAGATAATTACTGGATCTTATAAAAAAATAAGTAAACTAAAATATTAATTGTCCCTAATGCCAACAACCTGTAATAGAGTCACGTTCTGAATTTATTTCAGGAAAACTTAAAAAGCTTCCAGTTTCCTTGTTTCATCTACCGTATCGGTTCAGCTTAAAATTAGAAATTCTTTTTTTTTCTAGTACAAATGATCCACCAGATAATATGCAATTAAATTGTTTATAAACTCCTTCAATACCAAACTCTTGAAAAGTCCGCTTTTAGTGCATACCTTCTGTTCCCAGGAATTTGTCTCTAGTGGCGCGATGCCCTTATGCGTTTAGTTTTACGAGCCTAGTTGTCCGACACCATTCTCTGCTAACCGCGATATTCCCCAAAGGAAATTTTTCTTTTCTCTGCGGTATTCTTGAAACAACGTCTGGTGAATAGTTAAAACGTGAGTTGTATGTGCTCCCAAGCAAAGAGTTTCGTAGTTTATTGCAACGACAAACAGTGGCGTATACAAGGCAAAGGCACCCTTTTGTAATTAAATTTTCTCTATAATGTGAAATTTAATTTTGTTAATTTTGCCTTTTAACGTTTCTGGTTCTCCACATGCTGCTGATGATAAATAAATAACACAAATAATTCTGAATATAATTTATTTATTATTTGCGTGCCGGTGCAGAATAATAAATTAAAAAGTGTTTTACCAGAAAAAAGTAAATACTTAATTTTGAATTGTATTAATAAAATTATTTTGAGTTAAAAATTGCGATTGCCATGGAGCATTAAAGTTCAAAAGTGACGCAGTTTAAAAGGAAATAAATCACGCTTAGCTGACTTCAAAACACCTTTTCTCACTTTGACATTAACTGTTTTTGAGATACAGGGTGCTTTATTGATTTTAGCCGAAATTGTAATTTATCGCTTTATTGCTATTTAACTATGAATATTTGGATAAATATAGATTTTTTAATAATATTACAATGTACAGTACAATCACAGTTGGAGTTGATAAGAGGGAAATAGTACATTGTGTAACGAGTGGGGAAAAGTTGCCAATAGCGCCACGCTGACGCAGTTTACGCACGAGCGAAGCGAGTGCGGAAAGCGCCCAAGTGGCGCTATGGCAATTTTTCCGAACGTGTTGTACATACTATTTTCTATCACAAGTGCGAGTCGTTATGGGACCTATAGCATAGGGGGTTAGGTGCACGGAAAGTGCTAGATAGTACAACGCTGTTGTACAATCTAGCACTTTCCGTGCACCTAACCCCCTACACTATAGGTCCCATAGCGAGCGCGCGTGATAGAAACATTTTTAATTTTCATTTTGCGGAAAATGTAATGCTTGATTAAATATTTTATAACTATACAAATTTATACAAACGAAGATTTCTTAAAATGAGTAAACTGCCTTAATTTTTTTGTTGTGGATCCATTTTGTGTACCTTATTGCTGTTTTCCACTGACAATTTATTGATCAATTAATTCATGAAGTCGCTTCATCAAGAAATTGGACAAGTGCACCAAATCTGCTGTCAAATAACTTCATGAATTTATTAATCAAGTTCTTGACGAATTAGAGCATGTTCTAATTTTCGTCAATTTCTTGAAGTTCAGAAGTACCAACCCAACAGATTTCCAGCCTCAGATCAGTAATGAGGTTATGTTATTGGAATATGTAAATAATTGTGTGGCGTCGTACTAGTTTTGCATTGTTTTTATTGATTTATTACTTACAAAAACTAATATTTATATAATATGTGTCAGAACGGTACCGCTGTTGTATCACTACAATTATGAGTGGAAAGGCGAAATTTTTTAAAAATTTATTTGCTTCTTTGATTCATTGGTAGAACTGATTCATACGTCAAAAAACTTGACAAAGTCTGTAGCCGTGTAAAACCACACTGTTTATCAATAAATTCGTGAATTAATTCATGAAGAACTTCGTCAATTTATTCATGAATAAATTGTCAATGTAAAACAGCTATTAGCAAATAACAATTATCGATTTGTAATTTTAATGTGCAACGTAACGTGATTCCAAATTATGACTGAGAAGATTAAATTTATTTATGTTATAAAGATATTTACTACTAAAACGGCTCTAAATTTTTGTTTATCCATTGAAGGGATGAACACAAATACAAATACAACAAATAAAATTTCGTAAGCATAATTAGGCATGATCAAAAATTAATAATTACATTAACGATAATTGGCGCTCAATGACTTTCATACTTCTTGAACAAATTTAACACAATTTTAGATTCTGACATAATTTTTAATTCTTTGAACATATCCATATAAGGAACAAAAAATTTTCAGAAAGTTTTGAGTGATTTTCGAAAGGCTGTATCTCCGTGATAAATAAAAAAGTCTCTAGTTTCAAGATCTTTTAAAAAAAAAATTAAAGCTACGGTTATCAACTAATCAAAAAAAATACCTTCAGAAAAAAATTAAAAAACCACATGGATTGAAATTTTTTTCAAACTGAATCAATAGAGTTAACTTATTTATTCAGCTTTCATTGAAAGGTCTCCGTGCGACTATTGCTTGTCAAGATGTCGATAGTTGAAAATGAAAAAGAATAATTTTTCTCAACTTCTCCCATAATTTTGCATTAGATATAGTTCAAATTTAAGAAAAAAATTTCAATAATAAATTTTTCAATTTTTTTTTTTTTTTTTTTGAAAAATTGCTGTACGGTTCGATATTAGCAATATTATACTAATCTTTATTTAATGGCATTAAGTGCACAGTTTAACCTGAAACTAAATTTCGTCTTCGATTTACACACATTCATAAAATTGATATTCGATATTTTCTGCGAAGATTGCTTAAGTTGCAAAAACAGTTTCCTTCAAAACTAGTCTTATTTGGGGAAAAAAATATCAAAAGTTTTTTCAGTAAAAAAGAATTAATCAGAAGTTTGTAAACTTAATGTTTTTCATGTAGTGTTGATTTGAGTTGGTTAAAGACAGAGTATTACAATCGAGTCAGAAACGACTAAAACTCAAAGATTTTTTTGTCAGTATTTTTTTACTTATATTTAAACTATATCTAATACAAAATTGGGAAAAGGGAAAAATTCTTCTTTTTCATTTTACATAATATTACATAATATTTAGGAGAAAAACGGTTGGATGGATCAACTTATCAATTTACAGGATTATTATGACTACAGAGAGCTGCAAAAATGTCTCACATTAGTTTTTTCAACAATATTTGTAATTTAGCGGTAGGATTTCTAAAAAATTGTAGTCATTTTTTGCACTTTTTTCAAATTAATGTCACGGATGAAAACAAATTTTTTTCTTCGGCGGGTCCTTTTAGAGAATTTATTTAAGTTTTCAAAACTGCCTTTGGATTTACTTTGCAATAATTTGTTGCAGAGATATCGATCACTAAAGACAAGTGTCATTTTTCATTCAACCATCGATATCTCGGCTACCAATAATCGCACGGGGACATTTCAAAAATCGACAAATTAAAGCGAAAATAAATAAGCTAACAAGCCTCTGTATTTATTGAGTACCAGTTTATAAAATAGTACTATAATATTCTATGGCAAGTCTTAGATTGATATAAAATTTCCACTTAGCAGTTTTAAAGGCTTACATTTTATAAGATAATACCTACTAGAGACGATTTTACAAATGATTTCAGACCTCTTTATTTCTAAGGCGCAGAGGTCATATGCAAATTGATGGAATTTAATCTCTGATACATATTTTTTGTAAAGGATGTTTCTGAATGATTGCATTATTTGAGATTTTAAACACATCAGGTATGTGCTTTCCTAATAATCATTTAAAGTACTAGTAGTTTTTTCCCGCAGTATCTGCCGTTAGCACTCTTGTCTGTGAGGTTGAATATCTTTTGCATACCTAGATGTCTCGTGTCGAAGAACATTGTTTGACATCATTTAATAAGATTTAAGAAACAATTATTATCTTAAATTGGTTTGAATTAGCTTAATACCTTAAAAAAGAGTAAAAACATGTGAGTGCTAATAATAGAATATATGTATTTTTGAAATTTAGTCTCGAATTACTAGATGATTTAAAATATTCACATCAAATACAGCAGAAAATAATTGATAAAATGGGAAATATATTGGAACTTACCTGTACATAGTGGCTCCTTTTTACTAAACAGCATAATAATTAACAACACACAAAATATTGATAGAGCTAAGATCATAGCAAGAAGGCATTTCTCTTTCACAGGTTTACTTCTAGGAACCATAACAGTTTTCGTTCCGGATCGGGTTACTTGCACCACAGTGGAATTGAGCGATTCTTGAGTAGCATTCTTTGATGCTAAGTAACCGTTCTTGGCATCACAACACGCTTTTTCTGTCCGAGACATGTCACTCAACATCGTGGTGATTTATTTAAAACACTGGAGGGCGCGCTTAGCCTATGCTTCGTCGATTTAATAGCCATAGAAAATGTACTATATAGTTTTCATATAGGAAGGAATATTCTGGAACAATGTTTACTTGTGTATATAGGACTATTATAACTTTTACCGATGAGCTTTATTACAGAATTAACTGAACTTAAATTGACTAAAACTAAAAAAGTTTCACTGATTATTTTTATTATTATTCTTATTTTACAAATATGATTATTATAATAGTCTACGTCAAAAACATATGAGGTAAAAAGTAATTAATAGTCCAGTTGGTAGAGGTTCGGCCTGTGTCAAACCTTGATAACCCGGAAATAACTACACAGGCCTACTTTAATAGTGAAAAATTATTTCTTTAGTAGTTTTCTTTAAATAACTCGGCGGGAAGACTTTGTACGAAAAAATGCTTAGGACTCCGATTACGAAATTTGTAATAACAAAGCCGTGAGATTGAAAAAACGGTATAAAACGGCAATTTTTTAAAGTAGCTGTAAAAATGTTAATTATAAACAAAAAGTGATAAAAACTTTCGAAAACTATAGTCCAATATATATATATACAATAATGACGCTAAAGCCGAAAATTACGAGAGCAAAACTTTTTGTTCTATTCTCTAGGTGTTATACATTCATCGGCATCTGAAACTCGAAACTTTGCCAAATTTGTTCGAAGCTTTGCTGACACTTGAAATTTGGTACACACATAGTGTAAATATGCAGAAACCAAAAGCAATTTGCAAAATTCAAGTATCTTCATTTTTGCAGTTTTGGTAAGGTTTTATACGTCACCCTAGTTTTATACGTCACCGTTTTTTTAATTTTTGGACGTATATTTATGTATATTTATAAAATATTCCATTACGGTAGATTAGCCAGCATAATTACCTACAATTTAAAAAAATATATATTTTCATCGTTTAGATCCTAAGCTACTTAACATTTTGCGCCTGTTAGCCGTAGTCGTACATTATTCAACATATTAACATAAAACAAAATCGTACGTGTGGGGTAAACCTTTAACTTTTCATTTTCGAGCGCGAGCTCCGCTCTTCGGCGCTTGTATACTATTAGAAATATGCAACAGTAAATTTAAACAATTGTTTACTTAAAGTTAAAGGTTTACCCCACACGTACGATTTTGTTTTATGTTAATATGTTGAATAATGTACGACTACGGCTAACAGGCGCAAAATGTTAAGTAGCTTAGGATCTAAACGATGAAAATATATATTTTTTTAAATTGTAGGTAATTATGCTGGCTAATCTACCGTAATGGAATATTTTATAAATATACATAAATATACGTCCAAAAATTAAAAAAACGGTGACGTATAAAACTAGGGTGACGTATAAAACCTTACCAAAACTGCAAAAATGAAGATACTTGAATTTTGCAAATTGCTTTTGGTTTCTGCATATTTACACTATGTGTGTACCAAATTTCAAGTGTCAGCAAAGCTTCGAACAAATTTGGCAAAGTTTCGAGTTTCAGATGCCGATGAATGTATAACACCTTATAGAACAAAAAGTTTTGCTCTCCTGATTTTCGGCTTTAGCGTCATTATTGTATATATATTGAACTATAGTTTTCGAAAGTTTTATCACTTTTTGTTTATAATTGACATTTTTACAGCAACTTAAAAAAATTGGCGTTTTATACCGTTTTTTCAATCTCACGGCTTTGTTATTGCAAATTTCGTAATCGGGCCACCGCCATTTTGTAGCTATTTTTATTACGAACAAAATCATGTCCAAAGCATTTTTTCGTACAAAGTCATCCCGCTGAGTTCTTTAAAGAAAACTACTAAAAAATATTTTTTCACGATTAAATTGTTAATAATTTTTTTCCTGATAAAATACTTTGTCAGCAAATTAGCCTTTTATTGTACTCATCATTTAAAGTATTCCTGTGTAGTTATTTCCGAGTTATCAAGGAAATGTCACCAACAGTAACTTTTCGGTCTCTGCCGACTGGACTATTAAGTTATGTTAGTTAATATTGGATCAATTTCAGTTTAGCAAGATAAAATAGTGCCAAATTGTAAAAAAATACTCAAGACTGTACAGTGTCTGGTTTTTCGTGTTAACACCCCCTTAAATACAAGCGGACTAACAAAATCGAGTGGGATTATTTTTTGTGGGTAGGGTTTGCTCTTTTGTAAAAAATGTGAGCTTGTAGGATTTTTTCTGTACTTTTTGCACATGTACTTGAAAACTGATTAAACATGTTACTATACAGGGTAGACAAAACGTATACTTTTTTTAAGTGGGATATCCTATATCTGAATTGATTTATTAATTTTTTGTTTAATTCTAAGCTTTTTTTATATAACAAGTCATATACACAAGTCAACGAAATATTATAGAAAAAAAAATTTGAATTTTAAAATTTCCAGTAGCCATGGGTAAATCAATAAAAGTGACGCTGTCAGTAACTTCATCAAGTAATTTAAAAAGTATCGCTGCAAATTGTAATAAAAAATACCATACTCACAAAGAGAAAAACAAATAATTTTAATTTCGTTTATTCGAAACAACTATAATGCCGTAGCAACGCAAGGAGACTTAACTCGATAAAATTCAAGAATGCACGCTCCTTGCAAAAAACAATTAAAAAGATATTTGAAAAGTTTCAACAAACATCAAGTCTGACAGAAAGAAAAGTGTAGTGAAAAATAACGAAGATGCGCAACTTAATATATTGCTTTCTGATCAAGAAAATCCCAATATATCCATAAGGCATATTTTAAGAGTTTGCGCTCTCTCCGAATCCGGGGTCAAAAATAGAGGTTCCTATTTAAAAAGATAGATTTGATCTTTAATGACCTTAATGGTCAATTTCAAGGTCAAATTGAAGGTCACCATCCGATGTCCTCCTCCGAACTCAACAACTTTCGTAAGGGTTATTTTCGGATTGCTGACTTCTCCTTCTCTGACGATATATTCAGCTGCGGAATTTAAAATGGGACACCCTGTTTAATAGCTCATAGTAAGTCAAGCGTTCGTGGGCTAATAGGAAACCAAACCCATAAAAAATAGTCCCACTTGATTTCGCCAACCTACTTGTATTTAAAGGGGTGTTAAAATGAAAAACCAGACCCACTAACATTGATAATTTTTGTATATACATGATGTGCCACTTAAGAACAAAAATTTGGGACATAAAACTCATTTATTTTTAATTTAAAATTATTTTTGTTATCTAACTTAATTTTTTTAAATGGAATTTAAAATTTCATTTAAGGCATATTTCGATAAACAAATACTGGATCTAAGACACATCATTTAAAGACCTACCATATTAATTATTTTATTAATAGTTTAAACTGAAAAAATAATTATTATGGACGTTAGAATGGAATCCTATTGAATTTGACTGCTAGTTATAGTCTTTCCGATATCAATTGAAGAACCAACATATTGATAATATGTACCAGGTTCGGTTGGTGACGCAGCAACTCGGCATTGAAATATTTGAAAAACTTGTTCCCATATTTATTTAGCCATACCCATAAACAGGTCTGGTCGAACTAAACGTGGAGGTGATAGAAGTTAAAGCTCAGCTCAGCTCAGCTAGCTCAGTTAAAGAATGCGAGCGCGGGCAAAGGAAAACAATCACAATTGCATTGGGCTACTGGGCAATAAATCACAGCAGATGGCAAGTGGTTGATAAATTGCCCAGCAATGGCAGTGCAGTAATGCGGAATTTGGTGTGATTCAGGTAATTTTAATTTATTATAGGCACCTATCAATCATTCATATTACAATTGCGAAAGGGAGAAATAAGAGGGATATTTTGTTTACTAATATTATCACATGGCATTTTGGAGACCTTTTGAAACGGAACAAAACGAAATTTACCACCAATATCATAAAATTGTTTGAGGACATAAATAATTAAAATATGTTGTTGGCCAAATGAACATATAATAGAAATTTTCTACACATTATATACAAATTATTATAATTTTTTACCTTTAGCAGATAATTTTTTTAGGGACGCATATGAAACTCATTAAATTTTATTACTAGACGTTTTTTTGCATGTTCGGAAAGACTTTAACATGTTTGTATACCAGTCAGTGAATTGTTGCCTTTGATTAACAAATTTATTAGCCCAAGTTTCATCTGTCTAAGCTAAACATCTCCAAAGGCATTTGAACACACAAAATACGTAAATGACTTATTTTTCAAATTCAACATCCGGTAGCTTGAAAACCTGCGTTTTAGACTTATAAGGCTTTTTCATTTAAAAAGGTTCGATGAACAAAATTACTAAATTGTGGCGAATGCGCTAGTTATATACGATTTGTAAGAACTAAGAAAATCGATATTAAATTTAGACCTTCAAAATAAACTGACTTTAAAGATGTATTATACCGTTAACCACTTTTTTTTATAAATAATCTGAAGATAATAGTAAACAATCAATTTTAAGCCCTGGGGTTTTCCTTGAATAAAGGGATATTTTTAAAGAAAATGTTATGATTTATGATATTCCATCTGCGTGCTGGAAAGTAATTATTATTACAGGATTATGTAAATACCAGTATTTGTTTTAGTCTGTGAAGCTTAGTTGCTGCTGCGTACGAAAAGCAAAACAAAAAAAGATAAAGAGAATATTAGTAGCCAGATTAAAAAATGAAGTATCTTTGATTTAAAAAATATGCCAGTTTATTTTCATTTAAAATGTGTCTGAAAGCTTGTATAAGATTATACAGATCTGAAACTGTAAATTAAAAAGAAGCGAAGATTTCAGTTCTTTATCTCTTGAGAGAATTAATTTAAAATGACAATTCGTATTTTTCTTAAAATTTCAAATATGCTATAAAAATAACTTTCTTTGGATACGGGATATTCTTAAATTTATAAAAGAATGAACAAGTGAAATATAGTAGGGATATAAGGATTTCTTATTCAGTATTTAAGCATTCTCTGAATAATTTATAGGGTCGC